AAGGCAAACACGGCGCTACAAACCACCCATTGGGACAAAAAGATATTTATGCAGTCCTGTCCCCACAATGCTGAACATACTGAATAACCTTGCCATACAGTAGATTTCATTTTATGTTGTTGCACATGATGTATTTGTACTTTTTTATTATTGTCAGTTGTACCTAAGTAATTTGCCAACAGAAGTTGTATGATGTAATTTTAGCATAAATGTGTATTATTCTAGCGTATAAGTGGTGTTTAATGCCTCTCAAGGCACTTTTTATGTATATATATTATGTATTAGTCATGTAATTTTTTAAAAATTTGTAAAAGCTTCTCAATTCAGCCTTTGGCTGCAAAAAGCTTCTAACCTACTGTACTATGTATGTATGTGTGTTTCTGCAAATAAACCAGTCTATATGGGGTAAATTGTACATTGTGTCACTCTTCACTGCATCAGTTTGGATAGGCTATCGCGTAAGCTATATGATAATAGCGTTAATGGCCCGCCCTTTCTCGGTGAACTTGTGATAAAGCCTTGTCAGTTGCTGTAACCACCTCATAAAGCCACCTCGTTCGCTGCGCTCACTTAGTGGCTTTATTCGGTGGTTATAGCAACTGACAAGGCTTTATCACATCATATTCACCTCGGGGCGGGACATTAACCCTTAATTCATCGACATGGTAAGCAATTCAAGTAAGCGTTTTGTGTTACAGGTCACCGGTAGGGTTTTTATATGTTTTCCCCCATTTATAACATAAGTAATGCTTTCATGTATAGTACCGGGTAAAGAAGATATATATTTGCATGCTGTCATAAGGTGTGCGGTGGATAAAAGGTCACGTATGTTTTTATTGTGTTCTAGACACCTTTTGCCGTATAGAATCCGGACATTCTGGACTAAATGGGCGATTTAGAAGGTAGATCACGCTGTGAATATCTATTTTTGTGGGCCTAAAACTCGGGTAGGTGACTATTGATGCCTTTTTTTTATGTCAAAACTATGCCCGGTTAGCTAGCCTTTGCTCCAAGGCCGGTGTACATTTGTTGGGTAATCAGGTAGACAGACTTGACCTAAGGCCCGGGAGTACTTCCGGGTCACGGCATCGCGTCTTCCTGTCACGCAAGGACGCGGCATCGTTAGCAGTTTTCCGTCTTTGGAGGAGTTTTGCAGTGATTCTAAAGGCGACTCGGCCCGGACTGTGTATCAACTAACTTACAGGTAGGAAAACTCGGCATGTAGTTGGTATTCAGATCTCCTTAGAGTTGCAAACAACGGTTCATGATAATTTTGTGGCGGCGTGAGTTTGGGCCAGTGTGCTGTTTACAATTCAGTCATGGAGCTTCAAATACTTGATTTGGTGGAGCTACGCAAAGAAAAGTCGTAGTGTGGATGTGGAATTATCTGAGAGATTTCTAGATTCTACGTTTGGATGTTTGGCTCTCAAAATTATATTGCATCGAAGTTAGGGGGTGCCGCCTGAAAGTTGATAACATAACCAGTGAGAGTCGGTAAGGGGTTACCAGATTGTGTTGTGTGTCATGAAAAAAATAAGCAAAAATACTCTCGCAATGTAGTGTGCAATTATACGGACCGAAAATAAAATGCACTGTTATGAAGGGATTCTGGTGTTGGTAATGAGGAGAGCGTTCATCTAAGTCTAAGCTAAACGTGGGTATACTGTAAACCCCTACGCGAGCCCCGACAAATTCTCACATCTGGATTCCATCCCGCCCTGACGCCAGACGGGAATGTGAAAACATCAGGACGGTTCATTAATGATGGGAGGCTCTGATTAACTTTAAATCTCCTAACGAGACACAGAAAAACATTTGCTATATTAAATTGGCACGACAATGTTATTGGCAGTTGCATACGCAACTGAAGTATGGGTGCAAAATATTCAAAACGAACGCCTACAAACACGTCAAAAATAAGCCGAAGCCCAGAACATTGCATGAAAAGTATGTAGGCCAAGGGACAGTTCATTAACTGTTGCAATGTTACTCTCAAAGACCCTGCATAGCATCAGTAACAATATACAGTAAATACAGCTCACTATTTGTCTGTCTTTCATAGTGTATCAGCGGTTTCAGTTCTACTAATTGATTTTAAGTTACTTTCACAGACGATAAATGTCGATGAATATTTGTTTACATGCACTATAATAGTCAACTATACATAGTAGTACTACTCTCCAAACAAAGTTCGGGTTTTGGGTTATTTTTGGCATGTTTGTAAGCTTTTTATCGGGGTTTCTTTTTTACACTGACATTTTTTGGTTGGGTTCAAAAATCCAGTGCAATAAAGAAACCCCGCTAAAAAAAGTAAATTTAAATCAACCCAAAACCCCAAACTCTGATTGGAGAGTAAGTATACCGGGTTAAATATTTCAGCATGTTTCATAGATCGTTTGTTCCATTTTTTTTAACAGAGGTTAATCCAGCTCTTGTCGACATGGCGACAACAGGCAGCAGAGAAGGTTTGGTTGACACCATGAGCGGATCCGCAGGGGGTTCTGTCAACAACGTTTCCACTTGGCAAGGAGGAAGTTGTGAGGAGTCTGGAGAGGAAACTGAGACTGAGAGGCAGGACAAAAGTGTGAAAGTGTGTGAGGAGTGTGCCAAGCAGTTCAGTTGTCTTAGTGCTATGAAGACACACATGCGGATTCACACGGGTGAGAAACCCTACAGGTGTGATGAGTGTGGAAAGAAGTTCAGTCGGCTGGAAAATCTGACGACTCACATGCGGACTCACACTGGTGAAAAACCCTACAGATGTGAGGAGTGCAGCAGGCAATTCACTGAGCTTGGGACTCTGAAGAGGCACATGCGGACTCACACAGGTGAAAAACCCTACAGATGTGAGGAGTGCAGCAGGCAATTCACTGAGCTTGGGACTCTGAAGAAACACATGCGGATTCACACAGGTGAGAAACCCTACAGATGTGAGGATTGCGGCAGGCAGTTCAGTCAGCTGGATAATTTGAAGACTCACATGCGGCTTCACACAGGAGAGAAACCATACAGGTGTGAGGAGTGCAGCAGGCAGTTCAGTCGGCTGGGTCATCTGAAGATTCACATGCGGCTTCACACGGGAGAAACCATACAGGTGTGAGGAGTGCAGCAGGCAGTTCAGTCGGCTGGGTCATCTGAAGAGACACATGCGGACTCACACAGGAGAGAAACCCTACAGGTGTGAGGAGTGCAGCAGGCAGTTTAGTGAGGCAGGGAATCTAAAGAAGCACAAGCAAACTCACAAAGAAGGAACCCTACAGGAGTGAGTGCTGTGGCACGCTATTTGAAAACCTCATTGGCATAAACACTGCATGGAAGTAAGAAAGTATATACGGAGTTCAGTAGAGGACTATCAAGTCATCACACGGTGTCCTTAGTCTTGGTAGAATGAAGTATGAGAGATCCAACTGGAAAATTTATGTTTCAAGGATGTACTGTTTTTTTTTTTTGTGTAGTCATTTTTAGCATGTTAAATCTTTTCCTTCTTAGTTTACATTTATA